ATGTCCAGCTGCTTCTTAGCTGTATCCTGGCTGGATCTTTTCCTCTCCACCATTCACAGAAATGCTCCTGCTCTGAAACATTTTAACATTTTATTTTTCAAATTGAGCTCATCAGTTTTATGTTTCTTTCACTCCAGGAAGTCCTGCTGGCTCCGAAGGACCCCACAGGGCTGAGGCAAGGAGCTAAGGCAGTGCATCCATTTTGCATGCAAGGTTCATCCGCAGGAGATGTTCCTCTCCATGCCGTCTCCTCTCCCTCCCCTCAAACAAGCCATCAGCTCCCTGGAGCATTTGCACATCTCATGTGGAGCACACACTCCGCCCCTCCTCCAGCTTTTGGCACAAACCAAGTTGCACACCCAATTGACTTGCTGGCTTGTTTCAGGGTGATTTCCATAACCGGCTCCTGTCCTCCCCCCCCCCCTCTTTTTCTCTCTTTAGGCTGATTCAGGCTTGGGAGGAAAAGCATCTGAAACTAATAAACTCTCAGTGGATGCCTTTCCTGAGCATTACTCATGCAGCCACTGAACACTTGAGGATAGAAAGCAAGGCAGTGGGCAGCCAAGGAGTGGAAAGGGAGCAGGGAGGGCAGGAGGGGAGATGAGGCAGCGGCTTTTTTTGCAGGATTTATGCAAGGCAAGGAAGCACAGCAGAGAGGACCCAAGAAAGTAATCTGCATTTGGAAGGGGAAAGGGGGTAGGAACCCCTTCCAGCAGACAGAGGAAATTGCTGGGATAGGGAGGCAGGGAGAGAGAGGTGTTGTATGTCAGTACGTTTAGAAGACCAAATGATCGTAAGGCTAAACCATGGAGCTAACAGTCGCAACCATATTCGCTTCAAAGATATCAAAGAACAACAATCACGCAGTGGCGTCTGACAATCCTCTCCTGCTTCCTTCCTAAAAAGCAGTCAAACAGCTAATGATGGTTATGAGACAGTTGTGCAAATCAGGATTGTACCCGCCCTGTTGTTGATGCTCCATCAGTTAGGGAAGGTTAGGCTTCTTCCACCTTACTTTAAGGGTTTGTTTTTTTTCCTTCATCTGGTCCCTCCACCTCTTATCATAGCATTTGAGTCTCAATACTGGAAGCACTGAGCTCTGCATGGAAAGGCGAACGATATCTGTTTTAGGTCACAGCATATGATGCAGGTCCTGGGCTGAAAGCAAGGGCTTAATCACACTTGCCATAAAACCCCTTTTATACCAATTCTTTCCGTACCTCTGTTGTACCAATATACAGTGGTGCCTCGCTAGACGATGATAATCCGTTCCACTGAAATCACTGTTTAGCGAAATCATCATCTAGCGAAAAGCATTTCCCCATTGGAATGCATTGAAACCTGTTTAATGCGTTCAAATGGGAAAGAATCATTGTTGTCTAGCAAAGATCGGCCATAGGAAAGCCGCTTTGCAAACCGCCGATCAGCTGTTTAAATCGCTGTCTTGCGAAGCTTAGGTCCCGAAAACACCCGTTTTGCGAGCACAGAGGGAGCTATCAAAATCGTCGTCTAGTGAAAATCGGTTTGTGAAGCAGGGACCAAACATTTTCCAGTGAAATTCCATCATAGGAATCACTGTTTTGCGAATCACTATAATGATCGCAAAAAGACAATGTCTAGTGAAAAAAATGTCATGTGGGGTAACTGTCTAGCGAGGCACCACTGTACTTATTTTCATCATCACATGGTATATATACTGGCAGGAACATTTCTCATTGGTTTTAACAATATTGATTCATTTCTTCCTATTTGAAACGTTACTGCCAACTATGACGTGGAACTGATTCATTTTCTCTAATGTTTCCTGGGGCAGTGTTGCCCCTACTTTTATTTAAAACAACAACAACAACAAAACCTAATTGATATATCAGTGTGGCAAAAATAGACTCTTTTTTCAGAATGTTTGGCCTGTGGGGCCTGTGAATCCGGAAGCAATGCTTTGCCCATCGTGGCCCTGGCCCCTGCCTGTATGGCTGTGCTGCTTGGCAGACAGTAGGTTGAGGCATACAAGCCAAATGGCACACAGAAGGCAATCCACGCTGAGATTGTCCCTGTAAAGCCGTATGATGGTTTATCATCAATATATCGATATACTGGCTGCAAGGTGTGTTTTTTTAAAAAAATTACTCACAAGGAAGCCATGCTGGTTTGCTGGTTTATCATCAATATATCAATATACTGGCTGCAAGGTGTGTGTTTTTTAAAAAAAATTACTCACAAGGAAGCCATGCTGCAGTCATGGGAGCCACCGGTTCCTGGGATGAAGGATGTGGGGAAAAATCGATGGGAATGTGCACAACATGCTATACACTGGTAATGAATCAATACATCATGGGTACAATTTAAAATCACCCTCTTGGATAAGGTGCATTCCAGATACACTGGAGATAAACCGCTGGCTGGGAAAAATGAGTCAATCTTGGCCATGTGTTGTGTGCTTAGAAATTTATGAAGCAGTCTAAAAAAATGGCCAAATCAGTGTAACTCAAGTTCTTTTGCCAGGTTTGGTCGAGCCCTAAGTTGGACCAATGCCTGGATGGAAGGGCTGCCCCACATAGCCTTGTCCTCAGCGTCTAGGTGAAAACAGTAGACGGGAAAATCATTAATGATGGCATTAAGTAAGGACATCCCACTTAATGGTAAACAAACCCATGCTAGTTATTCACTGAGTAGTTGTGGTTCTACCACTAAGATCAGATCACCCGTGGATATAAAAGTTGCCTTGAATGAAAAGAGGAGGTCTTTCAAGGTCATGAGGGGAGAAGAGCAAGAAGGGCCAGCTCAGTGCAATAGTAGGGAAGATTCTCATGGGTACGTATCAAAAATGTGTTCACATACCTCTAGCTGTGGGTGATGGGATGGACCTTAGCAATACTTTCTGCAGATATCATACAATAAGGTTCCCAATGAGAAAACCTGGTTTTCATTTTTTACAAAGACTTATCTCAGATTAGAGCTCAGGCCAGAGATTTCCCGTTTTCTCTTTCTCTACCCCTCCCCCAAATGCCTCTGAGGCAGAACAATAATTGCAAACATATTTACGGATGGAATGGTAACAGAGAGCACTGCCTGGATTCACTCTCCTCCCCATATGATCATGTTTCACTTAGTTAACATGATACGGGGTCCCTCTTGATCCTGCTGCCAACACTGCAGATGTCTTCAGTTGGGAGGAGGAAAAGGAAAAAGGACCGCCCCAGACACTGGAAACACCCCGAGGTCTCTTTCTCTCTCCCCTCCTGCCTGCAACAAACACCCCATATACACAAGGGGCTATGCTGATTCACAATACTCTGCAAATGACAAGCTGATGTGGCATGCAGGCAGGCGTAAGAGTCACCATACAGATTTCATTTTTTTAATCACATGTGCCTAAGATGAAAAAGCCAGGCTTCAAAGTTCAGCATGTAGGGCCAATGCACTGTGCACTCTCCATATGCAGAGGGGCTGAGCTTTGATATCCTGCGTCTTGTGTACTGTGGTCTGTTCTCTGTGCATAGTTGTTTGAACTCAACATCTGTGTGGGACTTCAGCTTCTTGGGGGGAGTGGAATGGAAATCTTTGTTGTAGAAGTTTGATTGCTTTATGTACAGCCACGTGATAAAGAAAGTACATCCCCTTTGAATGTTATGGTTTTACTTATCAGGACATAATAAAAATCATTCAGTCCTTAACAGGTCTGAAAAGTGGGCAAATATTACCTCAGATAAACAACAACACATGACATATGACACTGTGTCATGATTTTTTTTTTTTTACAAAAATGAAGCCTCACTCAAATTCAAATAAATTGTTCACTTCACTAAACTTACAGATATTCTAAACACCAGTGTTGCAAAGTTTGCTCTAAATCAGCCCATCAACACACACTGGTTTGATATCTGACATCTCTCTCTCTCTCTCTCTCTC